CTGCTGGTTCTATAATCGAAACAATGTATAACTTTAGCTCTGAGATCCCGGCAGGCTGAAAGTGTTACAAAGTTTCAAACTGCCAGCTCAGAGGCCGGCAGCGCAGGCGCAGGCGGGGAACGTTGGCTTCCTCCTTCAATGAAGGAAGCAAGCCTCATGTTTTGCATCAGCTGCCTGGCTGCTGGCCGCCATCTTGGCTGACAGTTAATTTGCATATCTCCCTGATTAGCCAATGGGAAGGGTAGCGGTCGTACGCCAATTACCATGTTTCTCTTTTATTAGTGTAGATTGATTTTGTTTTAAATTGATTTTAGAGAGGAAGGTAAAGGGATAGAAATATCAGTGATGAGAGAGAATCATTGATCGGCTGCCTCCTACATGCCTCCTACTGGGGATGCAGCCCTGACCCAGAATCAAACCGTGACCTCCTGGTTTATAGGTTGATGTTCATCCACTGAGCCACATGGGGTGGGCTTTTTTTTAGTGTCTTAAAGTGGCAACTGAAGTCATTATTTGAGATCTTTTTTTCTTTTTTTACTGTGTTTATTGCTATAAATTTCCCCCAAGTACTGCTTTAGTGTAGCAATTTTCAACTTTTTTTTATCTCATGACACACATAAACTAAATCACTAAAATTCTGCAACACACTAAAAAATATATTTTTTGCCAATCTGACAGACACAAAAGGGTAGAATTTTGATTGGTTTACAAAAAAAATAATAAATAGTAATTATCTATCCTTTTTCCTCCAAAGTGACTTTTTAAGAAATCAGGTGCCTATCTTCTATATATATAAAAGTCTAAGCAACTGGTTGACTGGCCAACCAGCCGACCGGCCGGTAGCTGTGATGCGCAATGACCACCAGGGGGCAGATGTTCAAGGCACAGGCATGGAAACATGGAACAGACTGAATCTCAGAGGGAAGGGGGCAGTGGGGAGGGCTGGAAGAGATTAACCAAAGATCTTATATGCATACTAGAGGCCTGGTGCACGTATTTGTGCACTGGTGGGGTCCCTTGGCCTGGCCTGCGCACTCTTGCAATCTGGGACCCCCTGGGGGATGTCAGAGAGCCAGTTTCAGCCCGATTTCCGCAGGCCAGGCCAAGGGACCCTACTGGTGCACAAATCCATGCACTGGGCCTCTAGTATATGTATATAAGGATTTTTGGTACCAAGAATTAACCAATCAGATGCAACCTTACTTTGTGAAGTAACTTATAAGGTGCAACTCTATTATGTGACTTAAATATTTATGGTTCAAGACAGGGCATTCACACCAGATGGCTATTGTTGTGTTGGCTATTGTCATTTTTTTATTTGACAATTTAAGGGAAAAGAGGTCAGGGCCCCTGACAAGATAGTCATGATAGTCAAATTCTTGCTGCACTCTGAAAATCATTGCTTTAATGGCATCCCACAATTTGATATATTGTGTTTTCATTTTCATTCCATTCAAAAGAGGCTGCCTGCCGCACACCCCCTACTGGGGATTGAGCCACCCAGGCATGTGCCCTGACTGGGAATTGAACCATCAACCTTATGGTACGTGACTCCCAACCAACTGAGCCACACCAGCCAGGGCCCATTCAAGATACTTTAAAATATGTATATATATTGATTTCAGAAAGGTAGGGAGAGGGAGAGAGAGAGAGAAACGTCAATGATGAGAGAGAATCATCGATTGGCTGCCGCCTGCACACCCCATACTGGGAATCGAGCCCTCAACCCAGGCATGTGCCCTTACCGGGAATTGAACTTGTGACCTCCTAGTTTATAGATCAACACTCAACCACTGAGCCATGCGCTGGCAAGATATTTTTAATATTCCTTTTGATAGTTTCTTTCACTCATTTTTTAAAATTGAGGTATAATTGACATGTAACATATAAGTTTAAGGCGGACAACTTGATATGATACATTGATATATTGCAAGTGATGAACAATACACCAGTCTTACTCAGATTTTCCAATTCACTATTACTTGTTTTTGTTTATGTGTAGTAAGTTCTATGCAATTTTATCATCTGTGTAGGTTTCTGGGTCTACCATCAGAGTCAAGATATTGAACAGTTCTAACATCATGAGGAGCCTTGTGTTGCCCTTTTATAACTATACTCACTTCCCTCTTGCTACCCCACCCCAATTCATTTTTATTTATTTATTTATTTTTCTTCTTCTTTTTTTAAATATATTTCATTGATTCTTCACAGAGAGGAAGGGAGAGGAATAGAAAGTCAAAAACATCGATGAGAGAGAAACATCGATCAGCTGCCTCCTGCACACTCCCCACTGGGGATGTGCCCGCAACCAAGGTACATGCCCTTGACCAGAATCGAACCTGGGACCCTTGAGTCCGTAGGCTGATGCTCTATCGACTGAGCCAAACCGGTTAGGGCTTTATTTATTTATTTTAAATGTTTTTATTGAAAAATTTATTTTGAGGGAGAGGGAAAGAGATAGAAACATTGATCAGCTGCCTCCTACATGCCTTCCTACACACCCCCTACTGGAGAATTAGCCTGCAACCCAGGCATGTGCCCTGGTAATACAACCGGCAAACTCTTGGTGCATGGGATGGTGCTCATTCAACTGAGCCATACCAGCCTGGCTTCCTAATTAATTTTTAAAATATATATATATCTTTTATTGATGTCAGAGAGGAAGGGAGAGGGGAAAAGAGAGAGAGAGAGATCAATGATGAGAGAGAATCATTGATTGGCTGCCTCTTGCATGCCACACACTGGGGATCCAGCCCACAACCTGGACATGTGCCCTGACCAGGAATTGAATTGCGACCTCTGGTTTCATAGGTCAAGGCTCAAAATGGATGGGTTATGCTACTTAGAATCTAGCCCTAAACAGAGATAGGATTGCCTGATGTTGGGTCTGTGATATGGCACAAACCCTGACATGAGACCAACAATAAATAAGGATGGTTATATCTCTTATGGATCTTATATCCCTTATCTCTGTCACATCACATAATTCTTTTCTGTTTTGAGAGCAATTAAGATCTGGTCTCTTAACAACTTTGAAGTTTATATACAGTATTGTTGACTATAATCTCTATGCTATGCCTACATCTTCAGGACTGATCTACTAGTTGCAAATTTTACTTATATGTTATTTAGAAGTTTTAATTTCCAAATATTTGCAGGGGTTCCAGAATTGATTTCTTGATGGATTTAATTCCATTGTGGTCAATAATGGAATCATTCTAAATGTATTGAGATTTGTTTCATGGCCAGAAGGTCTGTCTTGGTAAATGTTGAGTGTGCACTTAAAAAGAATGTGTATTCTGCTGTCATTGGGTGGAGAGTTACGTAAATGTTAATTAAGTCAAGTTGGTTGATAGTATTGCTCAAGTCTTCTATTTCCTTATTGACCTTCTAATTGTTCTATCCATTACTGAAAGTGGGGATATTGAAGTCTTCAGCTATAATTGTTGAATTGCCTATTTTTTTCTGTCAATTTTGTTAGTTTTTCCTTTATATATCTGGGGCGCTGTTGTTAGGTACATATGTGTCTAATTGTTACATCTTCTTGATGAGTTGACTAGAACATATATATGTAAAAAGTTTTATTGGAATATAGCCGTGCATATTCACGCATATATTATTTATGGCTATTATATTCTTACTGATTTTCTGTCAGCTTCTTCCATCAATTAGTGAAATATTAAATTTCAGACTATAATTATGGATTTGCCTATTTCTTGTAGTTTTTGCTTTGTGTATTTTGAAGCTCTGTTATTAGGTACATAAATACTTAGGTTGTTAAGTCATCTTGATGAATTGACCATTTTATCATTTTGAAATTATCTTCTTTATCTCTAGTAATATTCTTTGCTCTGAGATCTACTTTGATATTAACTCCAGTTTTCTTTTGATTAGTATTAGCATTTAGCATTGTCTTTATATTTCAAGTACATTTTTTGTAGGCAGTGTAAATTGGGTCTTTTTAAAATGTAATATCATAATCTCTTCCTTTTAATTAGGAATAAGTGTCTCTATTATAGCCTTGTCATAATCTATCAGTTTTTGTTTTTTTTGATGTCTTTATTTTCCTTCCAAAAAAATTTCTTTAGTCGGTGAGCCCAGTGATTGTTCTCTGGAATAAATAATGCATGGAATCTGTTTTTATGGCCTTTTCTCCCCTGTCATACAGTTTTTTTCTTTTATCACGGCTCAATTCATAAGCTGTACCATCAAATGCTGTTTCTTCCATGAAGCCTTTACTTGATTATTCCTTTCTCAGTATTCTGAGCACTTTTTCTCTGTTTCTGTTTCATGATGGCCATGGTAATATCTTGATGTTTAATAATAAAATACCTTCTTTCGCCATGACCGGTTTGGCTCAGTGGATAGAGCGTCGGCCTGTGGACTGAGGGGTCCCAGGTTCGATTCCGGTCAGGGGCATGTACCTTGGTTGCGGGCACATCCCCAGTGGGGAGTGTGCCAGAGGCAGCTGATGGATGTATCTCTCTCATCAGTGTTTCTAATTCTCTATCCCTCTCCCTTCCTCTCTGTAAAATCAATAAAAGATATTAAAAATAAAATAAAATACCTTCTTTTCTTTCACACCCCTATACCTAGTCCCCTTCCTCAAATGCTACATCTTTAAACTTTTAGTGTTTTAAATTGTGGTTATACACATAATGCCTGAAAATTTGATTGTATCAGCAATATTTACATTATGTTTATGTAAATATTATTTGATGACAGGTCAGTTAATGTGATGTGCGGCTGCATTTCTTCTTGGTTCTCCTTGGTTCTCCACAGTTCCATTGTCAAAGTCTGTGGGCCACATAAAGGTGATCCTGACATCAAGGTCAGGAAGATTCTCTTTTCTTTAAACTTCACCAGTTACTTAAATTACTGTCGTACTTTAGCTTGCTTCATATTGGACAGTATCCTTGGAAGTTATAACTGCTTTTTAAGGGAGGACATTATTTTTCTTAATATCTTTTGAATATCTTTGCTGATATTTTCTGGATCCTATGTTTCTTTCTTATATTCTTTTATTTGTCCTTCATTTTGTTGGAGTACATATTCTGGGAACTTCCCAAGATTAGGTGCAGGAGAAGAGAACTTTGAGTTCTCTCATGTCTCAAAATTTCATCATCCCACATTCATAATACAATTGAAAGTTTGACTTAATATAGAATTGTAGATTTAAAAAAATTGTTTTGACTACTATGAATGAAGGCATTGTTTTTTTTTAAATCTTCTATCATCCTGTGTCACTGATGAGGAATTCAGCTTATCTTATTTTCCTTGCATCTCAGGTGTTTTCTTTTTCTCTGTGAAAGCTTTAAAATTTTATCCCTTTCAAATATCATGACCTGGCTGGTGTGACACATTGGTTAGAGCGTCAGGCCATGAACCCAGGGGCCTCAGGTTTGATTTCCCGGCCCTGGGATTGGGCACTCGTGGGAGATTACTGATCTATGTGTCTCACATTACTGTTTTTCTCCCTCCCTCCTTCCTTCCACTTTAAAAAAATTAATGGGAAAAAATATCTTCGGGTGGAATTAACAAAAAGTAAAAATAAATAAGATGTCATGAGGATGTGTTTGGGATTTTTTTTTTCTGAGGTGGTGCCTAAGGTCTTCCGTGGAACATTTCACTAGAACTAAAGGTTCAATTGCTTAGGGCTATATGTATACACACACACATAAAATTTTCAATCTAGAATCCTATTTTAAGCATATATATACATGGTGGGGCGGGGGAGCGGGTTTACAGTTGTGAGTACGCAAAACACAGTATATTCTTGTATTATTAATTATTGTATTGTTTTTCCATATGAACACCTGTAAACCTACTTTTGTCCCCCTGTGTATATCTTATTTTTAACTTATTTTCTTGAGATTTGAGTACTGACTAGTTTTGTTTGTTTGTTTTACTTTAACTTATTTTTTTAGAAAGAGGAAGGGAGGGGGAGAGAGAGAGAGAGAGAGAGAGAGAGAGAGAGAGAGAGAGAGAGAAACGTCCATGTCAGAGAGAAATATCGCTTGGTTGTTTCTCGCATGTGCCCCCAACCAGACTGGGGATTGAACCCACAACCTGGGTATGTGCCTTGACTGGGAATCAAACCTGCCACCTTTTGGCGTACAGGAGGATGCTCCAACCAACTGAGCCACACTGGCTAGGGCTGAGTGCTGACTGGTTTTTACTCTCCTGCAGTTGACAACACTTACTACAAAGAGTCAGAAAAAGAAAATCTGGTGCAACAGTCCATTCCCTCAAATGCTCGTTCTGCCCTGGAAGTCAAGGGAACCACCTCAAGAAATACTCCATCTCTGCCTCAGAGGTAAGATTGTTTCAGAGTCAAAAGTGGTAGTTAATATTAATGATGTTCAAAGAGTAGTTACCGGACAGAGCATCTACTAGGTGTGCCATACTTTATTAGATAATTTATGTTACTTTATTTAATCTTCATAACATTTATGAGATGTAGGTAATATGTTTCATTTATGATAATGGTTCAGAGGTTACTAAGTTACTTGTCTATGGTAACTTTATTTCAGAGCCAGGATTCAAACTGATCAGTTTGGTTCCAAAGCCCTTGCTGTTTGCACCACCAACACTAGTTGCAATTTTAGATTTATTTTTATGGCTATTTGACAGAATTTTTTTTTTTTTTTTTACATCACATTGTAAGTAAACTTTCTAAGGGCAACTATAATGTATCTTTAATCCTTACCAGTGTCTGGCTGGAGCAGAAGCTCAATAAATTCTTGATGAATGAATGAATGGATGGGTGGGTAGATTAATCTGCAGTCTTTACTAGCAATCTCAGAGCTTTCACCATCTAATAATTAACCACCCACCCAGAGTTTAAATTGCAGGACTATTAATTGCTTTATACTTTGACGTCACCTAGAATATCTCAAGGAAGAGGAATGGTAGAGTATTTATAATATTATTGCTCAGAAATAATGAAATTACCTTTTGCAAAGCCTTATGCTGGCATAAGGGTATCACTTTTGAGGATATCACAAGCTTATACTAATCTTTTCTGATAAAGAAGCCCATTTTAATCAAAGAATTCTATGAAATCTCAACCTTGTATGTATATATTACAGGCTGAAGAGATTGCTATTGGTTGATTCAGTGGTTTCTGTTCCATGTTTAGATTGTGAAGTAGGACTATGGAAAAGAGACCCAGTGTCCTATAGATTCCTTCAGAATTCAAGAAACTGTTAGTGTCTTGGCTTTTCTGTTTTGTATATGTATATGATTACAAAAATTGTTCCTCAACCTGACTGAATTCTAGAATGCTTTTTGGAAATGATTGTATGACAGAAGATAGCTTCTGTCAGAAGATCTGCCTGAATGTTTTTTTTCTTAGGGGCATGTACCCTCGGCTATTCAAAACCTCAGTTTATTGAGAATAAGGGAGCTAATTGTAAAAAAAGGTCCAAATAAGATAATATGTACTTAGTAAATGATACTGCGTTATGAAAATGCATAATAAGCCCTGGCTGCTATTGCTCAGTGGTTAGATTGTTGGCCCATACACCTACGGGTCTCAGGTTTAATTCCCCATCAAGGGCACATACCTGGGTTGCAGGCTCGATCCCCGGCCCCAATTGGAGAGTGTGTGGGACATAACCAATCGATGTGTCTCTCTCACATTGATGTCTCTCTCTTTCTCCCTCTTCCACCCTACCCTCCTTCCCTTCCACTCTCTCTAAAAATCATTGGAAAAAATATCCTCAGGTGAGGATAATAAAAAAAGAAAATGCATAATAAGAGGTAAAATGTTAGTGCCATTATCTCAGATCTTAGATTTAACTTAGTCAGAGATGCCCAATCTAGAAAGGAACAGCATATGAAATAGAATGGTGTAGACCAGCGGTTCTCAACCTGTGGGTCACGACCCCTTTGGGGGTCGAACGACCCTTTCATAGGGGTTGCCTAAGACCATCGGAAAACACATATATAATTACATATTGTTTTTGTGATTAATCACTATGCTTTAATTATGTTCAATTTGTAACAATGAAATTGGGGGTCACCACAACATGAGGAACTGTATTAAAGGGTCGCAGCATTAGGAAGGTTGAGAACCACTGGTGTAGACAATCATACAAATTCCCTACTATTTTATTTCACACTAGAGGCCTGGTGCACGAAATTTGTGCACGGGTAGGGTCCCTAGGCCTGGCTGGCAATCAGGGCCTTCCTTCCCTTGGCTGCCCGCTGTTGGCCGAGGCCTTCCTTTGTTCCATGCTGCCCCCTGGTGGTCAGTGCATGTCATAGCGAGAAGTTGAACTCCCGGTCGGTCCAACTCCCAAGGGGACAATTTGCATATTAGCCTTTTATTATATACTAGAGGCCCGGTGCACAAAATTTGTGCACTCCGGGGGAAAGGGGGGTCCCTCAGCCTGGCCTGTGTCCTCTCACAGTCTGGGACTCCTCGGGGGATGACCACCTGCTGGCTTAAGCCCACTCCCCGGGGGGATTGGGCCTAAGATGGCAATCAGACATCCCTCTGGCAGC